ACTTGGGCCAGTGTCAAAATGTTTACCAGGTGGCTCCTCCTCAATCACGTCAACCTGCTGACTCTTCATACAATTCTTTAGTTGTACACATCCCAGATGTAACAAGAACATCATCGAACTCTACAAATTCATTAAAGTCAACATCAGCATCAGCAATTTGTTCCCACACACCTTTCAGTTGCAGCTCTTCTTCAATGTCACCATCTTCCATTTCATGCTCACCATCAGCAACAATGCTCTGACCATGGTCTTGTCCATGCATAAAACCTACATGGTAAAAACAATTTGCAATTGTCTGAGAAGTTACACCTTCCCATGTATACACATGGTTTGCAAGAGATTTGGTCTTATATCTTGAATATAATTTTTTTTCCATTTGTAAGAAAGTGTGTTGGACAATCAACTATTGATAGTATTGTTTGAAAGATATTCCCAGATCAAGTGGCTGAAGTTGGCTTGTGCAGTTAGGTGGGGAAAAACAAAGCTACAAAGCTCCACGTTTCTCAGACCCTTCACATTATTGGAATGTACAGGACAACAATCTAGAAACAGCTACTTTCCTGTTCTGTGAGCCCATGTGTGCATCAAATGAGTGAAGAAACTCTTCAAATAGTTCAGTTGTCACCTAAGATTCATTATTATTTTGATGCTTGCAAGACAGAGTGTGGATCTTTTTGAAACATCTTAGGTTTCTGTATTTTCTGATAGCAAGCTAGGGATACTTCTCAGAGCCATCTTCATTGACTGTAAGTAGCTGTTATTCTTTCCTTTTTCGCCCTTAAAAGTTAATGTTTTGTTTGACATCACATTGTAAATAAGGCCTGTCTCATCACAATTGAAGCCATTTCGTGACTCATATCTCCAAAATTTTTGGGAGCTGATTGCTCTTCCATGTTTTGATGGTTACCTTGTCTACACTCTTGCTTTCTCCACTTACAGTATTGTATACTAAACCATGTCTCACTTTAAATTTTGCAAGTCAATCATTTGATGCAGTAAATTCCTCAGGATTTCCATTTTTGCTGCAACATCTAAGGCTCTCTGGCAAACAAGAGTACCATCAATGCTAATGCCCACTGCATACGCTTGATGAATCCAATTGATTAAAATAGATTCAAGTTCCTTGAATTTGCTACCTCTAATCTTGCTATACTTTGCTTTTGAGTTGCCAGATTTTTCATTTACTCATAAAATCTCTTTGTTTTTAAGAATCGTATTGACTGTGTAAGCAGATTAAATATCTTAACAATGTCAACTTGTTTTGTTTGAGGATTACTTTTAACGTGCTATATGATCTGCACCTACAAAGATTGAAATATGGGAAGATTACAAAGCTGAACTTTTATGTCTGCAAGAAGAAACACAAGACATAACAAAAATTATGAATCTAGTCTGTATTATTTTATATCCTTACCTTTTTTTTTCAAGGTGGTGATGCGACATTTCTGGCTACTTTTGGTAACATTGTCAGTATGAAATGTTACTGTTACATGAGCATGATTTCAAGGTGCGATATTCTGGAACACATATCGGGAAGTTTGAACCAGAAGTAGTTTACCTCCACTAATCAATGCGTTACAGGAGGGCACTAATGCGTGGCTGTAACGTTAGCAGTGAGAACTGTAATGATTGATTATGTATATAGTTCACACAGTGTGCAATGTTTTTTTTGTTTTTTTTTTTTTAATTCAGTATCCAGAAACGTCCAATTATTAATTAAAGGTTGAAAAGAATATTATGTTTACCAGAGATGGAGCTAGAAAAAAAATCCATTATTTCGAGTTACTTATCCACTAAAAAGAGGTAAAATTACATTGATTTGGTGGGACCTGAAGAAAAATTCATTGTTCCGTGATCTGTTAAAACAAGAATCTACTGTAGTTTATTTATTATTTAAAGAATTTAATTGTGTTATTTTTACCTTAAATTATATATATTTGCTGTTTAAGTTTACCAAAATGGGTATTGTTTGGGCTGTAGTTCTTAATCTTTCTGAAACCACAGAACACAATTCATATACTTTTTATTACATAGAGCATTAGCATCAATATATTCAAAAATTGATAAGCAATTTCATGTTTACTACGCTCGGGAAACAATGAAGCAATAAACTAATAATCTTTAACATATTGAATAAAATAAAATTATTGAATTGTCTACAAATATAACAGTGGGAATAAATTTGAATAAAAATTTTAAAATCTTTTCTTTTGTGGAACACTCTGTAGACATGCAGAACACTGGTTTAGGATCTGGCAATGAATTAATTCACTTTCCATTATTTCTAATGGGGAAGATGATTCAGAATTTGAACAGCTTTCTAGAATGAATTAAATTCAAAGTACAAGGCACCACTGTATACATAGCACATATACACTGAACAACTAATGAATTAGAGATAGCCATCTAATATCATGAACCTCCTTTTGCCCAGAATTAAGCAATGATGTGCCTTGGCATTGACTCAGTGAAATGCCTGTAGCATTGTAGATCACTGTTTCATCAGCATCCCTTGATGGTGTCCCATTGATTTCAAAGGAAGATAGTGTAGGGCTACAAGCATGGATACTAAAGATGTTCAATGATAAGGTAGGGAGATCATGGGAGGTCTTTGAAGCATAGACAGATTTATGAAGTGTTTTTCCAGTCATGTTGAGGTAACTTAGGGGCAAAGAGAAGTGCATTGTCCTGCTGAAATTACCGTGCTTTGGGTGTACAATGCACATAAAGGGGTCCATATGATTTGTTAAGATGATCTTTTATCAGTCACCAATCACTATTGGTGACTGATAAAAGTGGATCTAGAAATTTTTAAAGACAAACTCAGAAAATGTCTTACAAAATCTTTTACTACCTGTGATGCTTGGCTTTATTCAGGAAAATCCTTAGAAAAAGTGAGGTGCAGCTGCATCCTACACATACCTTCTCAATCCACCCCTGTTGGTCATTATTTGAGGGATGATGTCACAGGGAGTAGGGGTCTCATATCATGCCATAAAAATGTTTTCAGACAAACATTCCATTACCATGTGCCTGACTATTCTAAGGGAATACAACAGTTCTGTAGCTTCATGGTAATGTTGTGTTGGACTTCTTTTCCATGAGCCTGAACCAAGGTAAATAATGACACATTGGACCAAGCAATTTGTTTTCAGTCTTCAAAGATCCAATTTCAACCCATTTCCCAAGTGAGATGATGTGCTTTGTGGGTTGTATTCAGAAGGCACTTTCATAAGTTGATGGCTCCTATAGCCCAATGTGATGAGCCATTGATAAAATTTTTTTAGAATACCTGTTTTTGTTGTTTATTGTTGAACTGTGCTGTAATTTATTGCATAGTAACTATCCTGTTGGTGTAATGACCAACAGGATAGTTACTATGATGCAAGTGAAATGCAGTTACTCCCATTCAATGATCTTCTAGCTGTGACAGTTTACCTTGTATCAGATATCTGTCAGTTTGTCTTTCCACATTATTTTTCTCTGCACTCTCAAGACACTATTGTATTGTACATGGGGAAATCCTGTCTGTACAATTTCAAAATGGAGTTACTCAAATGTCTAGCTTCCATAGTTAAAATGACTTAAGTCTTTTCATTTATCCATCCATCATAAAGCAAATTCAAAATTGTAACAGAAACTGAAACTCTTCAATATACTGCCCACATGACAGTCAGCTTTGTGCATTAGATCAGGGTGTCAGTTTGTCAGCTCCAACATTGTGCTATCTCTAATTTGGTCTGTCTTCAATATATTTATGCAGCAATAAGTAGCAAAAAATTCAGAATTGATTTAATTTAAGACACACAATCTATATTCTTCTAAACATACGTCTCATTGCACTATAGCAAACTGGAATATATTAACATATTCAAAAATATTTTTTTTCATCATACTAATAAAAAGTATTGGTTTGTTTTTTATTATTTTGTCATGCCTACTAGTTATAATAAAAGAATAAAATAATTCCAATAATTTTATTTTAATATTAATTATGCATTTTTTCCTACCTGAATACTTTCTCATTCTTATGAATTTTTCATAAAACTTATTAGATTCACAAAAAATATATCTTACTAACTTTATGCATTTTACTAAAAACAATAGTTTTGTTTTTATATTGGTACAAAATACTGATATTTAATTCAGATAATACCAGTATTTCAGGGTTGTAAAACTGGTCTTGATATACTAGTGTCCTGATATTGTACTGTACAGCCTTAAGCCCTGGTCACACTATGCGATTTCAGCTGTACAGGTGACTGCAACTGCAACAAACGCAAGTGACGTGTGTCTTCTCATGGTCACACATTGTTTGCAACTCAGAAACATGTGACCCTATAATAAACCAATAAAATTACAGTGGCTTGTTTTTGACTACTTTTGTGAGTTTGCCAACATTTTATGGAATTTTAGCCACTTTTCTTATTAAAATAGCAAGCAAGTTCCTTTTCTGGAATGAATAAAAGAAAAAAGGCGATTATTTTGATAAAGCTGGCGAGAATACACGAAAAGATAAAATCTTTGATAAAACGAAGAATTAAAATCCCACAGGTATTCATGAGCCTGAATAAGCTCGATCAATCTTGATTCTGTGAAAGTATTAATCCTCTGTTAGCCATGATGAACTATTTTCAATGTTGTCACTGTATGGCATGGCACAAAGGCGTTTGTTGATTGGATGCGCATTTGCAATTGTCGCAAGTAGAACAAACTTTTTGTTTCTAGTTGTGGTTGCAGTCGTGCTGGGTTTTTGAGGGGGATTACTAGTTAATGGGAACAGCCGTCGCGGTTGCAGTCACCTGCGCGGCTGGAAATCGCATAGTGTGACCAGGGCTTTAGTTACCCACATACATAGACTTGTATGTGCGTGTATGTAATGTCTTTGATTAAACATTCATGTCATTGTTCAAACATCTAAACACATTAAACATTTATGTCTTTCACTAGACATTGTGTTGTTTTCAGGTAAGTGTTGTTGATAATTACTGGAATATGATATGACCTATAGTCAGTCATTGGTAATGTTGAATATCAATATGACAAATTGTTTTTCAGGTTCATTGTTTCTAGAGTTCACACAGCGCTGATTAAGAATGTTTATTTAGTAATATAATACAAGCATATGCTATATATTTATTTTTGGGGTGTTCTAGGTTCCATTGTTTAAAAAAATTATTGAATTTAAAATCTAAATAGAATATAAACTTTAGCATAAGACCAGTACTAAGGCCTTACATTCTCACCCAAGAGATACAAAGTGATAAAGACTAGTGTTTTTAATCATGTTTATTTAAATTTGATTAGTTTTAAAATAACACTTGAAATAAAAATGTAAATATTTATTATTTCACATAGATATATCCTTTTTTTTTAAGGGTAATTAATATAAAATCCTACTACTACAAAATAACATCAAATAAGTGTCCAACATTGTGATTAATATAAGTGTTTAGCTTTGCTGGAAAAAAATAACTTGTTGCAACATGTCTATTGGTATCTCCTGAATGCACTCATGAATTTGATCTTTTAGTTCATTGGTACTAGCCAAATATTGCTCAAACTTTGTTTCACAGCTCCACAGAAAGTAATATATGTAATTACCAACAATCAGCATGGATTAGATTTAATTAAATGAAAAACAAATGTTTTCCTCTGTTTTTAATGGTTATCATCAGGTTTAGAACTAACAGAATGTGTGTTTTAAAAAGAACGAAAAATGATAGTTAGTCATCAGTCATGCTGAATATCAATTTACAGAATATGTTTGTCACCTGAATGTTCTATTTTACTTCTAGTAATCAGAAGCTTATACTCGAGGAATATGATAAGATTAGGCTAGGAGAAGAAGGCATTACCTTACTGAGAAATATTATTCATTTAGAGCATTTTTCTACAACCAGAACCCAAATCTCCTGTGCAGGATTAATGTCAGCATTGTCTTATTGGCAGTTTATTACAAGGAGGCTCAAAAACAACATGATAAGTAGAATGTCTTTAGAAGAATGTTTTTCAACTTTCCAACTCTATAATGACTACTGAATGCAGGGTTCTCTTATATGTTCGGACAACAAGGTTATACCAGATGTTGAAAAGATGATTGAAAGTCTCAACTGGGGTCAAAAAAGAACACTTTCAATGGGAAACTTTCTTTATATACATAACCACATGGGCAGTGCACAAGGATGTTGAGATAGTAGTCATCAGAACAGACAAATTCAAAAACATTGTACTAACGAAATGGGACACCTGTAGAAACAGTTTATTCAAGTATATCAGCAGCACTGAGACTCCCAATGGTTATTTGGAGAAAATACAAGCAAGGGTTAATGTATAGCTAATTCTCCCTTAGCAAAGTACAGTAGACCTCCCCATAACGCGGTAGATACATTTTGCTTTATAAGAATTTCGCGTTGTAGGAATCCTTAAATACATGAGCCAATCACAGCTCGACACGTGTGAAGTTTACGGACTATGGCTGTTTGAAAGGTTTTCTTCCATAAAATTAATCGATTCTAGACGAATTCGACTCAATATTTCTAAAATATGTATAATTTTTTGGTAATAATCTGTATAAACTATGCTAAAAACAAAAAATTGTAGGATTACTTACCGAGTGTGCACCATTTGACGTCGCCATTGCTCAAGCTTGTTTTCGTCGTGGAGCAGTGCACTAAACGCCGGCCGCGATTTATGATAAGTTATTTTTCTGCAAAAAATTTGTTGAACTTTGGAGACATTATTAATAGAAATAATTTTTATGGCCGTTGAATAAGAAATGTTTCTTTCACAAGAAATGCATAAAATTACAGTAATGTATTAGACTTAGGGTACCTAATTTACATACTGTACAGACGATAGTTTGCCTAAACTCTCCGTAGCGTGGCACCAGGCAGCAGAAAGCATATATATAATTATAATAAAGTTACAATAAATTAAGTTAATATATAATTATATACACAATACCTAATTTATATATAATTATATGTACAGTACCTAATTTATATATTATACTGTACAGGCGATAGTAATCTTTCCGTAGCGTGGCGCTTGACAGCACAGAAAGTAGTTCGGCTGCCTGATGGCGTTTTACGTAATTATAGGAGTTTTTTTACCGTCGCAATTTTTTCACTGTCTTATAGGAATTGTAATTATAGGAACCCGTTTTATAGGGGGGTCTACTGTAATATACTTGCTGTCTGTTTTTGTACTATTGTATTGAAAAACAAAATAGTACTTTGAATGTACAGTTTTGTTTTTCTGTAAAAATCTGCTTCTATTTAAATATTTCATATTAAACTTTGGAACATAACAAGTCTTCAATATCAGTAAGTGAAAAGTGAATGAGATGCTAATATAGCTTAATTAAATTAAATGTTGTCTTTTTTTTTCTCTCAAAAAATAGTCTTTTGCCCTAGCTAATTAAGATGTCTTTGACTTAGCTACCATACTCATGATATCATTCTATTCCAGTTAAGGTTTTTAAGTTTCTGTAGTGTTACTTGGGCAGAATGTGGTCTCATGTTATAATGAAATAAGATTTCCATCCACATTGGTCAGCAGAGAATTTTTACACAGTTCTGTATTATAATGACATTAGATTTGTATTACCAAACAAACAATAGAATTGTTATTTTAGGTAATCCAGTCTTTGTTTTGATGTTTGTGGTTTTTGTTTCTTTTTGTGATCTGTTTACTGCCTTCTTTTTGTAATATTATATAATATTACTTTTTATCTTGTTACTAGTGGTGTGCCAATAACCAATATATCAAACCAAACTTGGTAAATGTTTACAGCATAACAAACTTGATCAAAACAAAATAACTTTATTTTCACATTTTGACTAAGATCTCGTCTATTTGTTAAACGGAAACTACACCAGTATAATAAGTCCTATTAATAAACAATGTCCATGTAGACAAGAGTACAAACATAAATTGATAAGAGTAAGGACAAAGAGGTAAAAAGAATTAATTGTTTATTATTATTTATTTTTCAGATAACAGAGTTAAATTTGGACAACTGTCGTAGTACATCAGTAGTTGGTCTTACAGATGATTTTGTAAACTTAGAAACTCTGAGCTTGATTAATGTTGGTTTAACAAGTTTAAAAGGTTTTCCAAAACTTCCAAATCTTAAAAAGGTAAATATTTTATATGGTTAATATGATTTATGTTTGAAAATTTTTAAAATTATTATTATAATAAATTATTTTTAGCTGGAATTAAGTGACAACAGAATTTCTGGTGGATTGAATTTATTACAAGGTAGTCCAAAATTGACACATCTCAATCTCAGTGGAAATAAAATTAAAGATCTTGATACATTAGAGCCTTTGGTAAATATTATTAATATTTATTTTTATTGATATTAAATATTCTGTATATTATAGACTGCTTAAAAGTTATGGTAATTTCCATTTTTTAGCATTGTGTTTGTAGATAAAACAGATTAAGTTGAGCTTTCAATCTGTGTTTGTTCAAAGACTTATAATCAGCTTTATGAAAAGAATAATTTATATAAACAATTACAGTAGAGCGTCGTTTATCCGAATCAATTGGGGACTGGGGTTGTTCGGATAACTTATTTTTTGGATAACCGATTATGTATGAAAAAATATATTAACCTATCCCATGTTGAAATTTTTCTCCGTTGCGTGGCGCTTTATGTTGAATTTTCATCGATGTTAAGCCTAACGAAGACTATTGTATTGTTAAAAATTATTTTNAAAAACAATAAAAAATTATACTTCAGAAGTTAATTTAGTATCAAAAACATAAAATATTTGAGTAGTCCAAGACATAGCCAAAGATTGCAGCGCCACAGCACTGGCGAAAATTTAAATTTGCCGACTGGAATTCTTTTGGATAATTGACTTTCGGATAATCGACGCGCTACTGTATTTTTATAATTTTTTTCCTTTAAATGATTAGCCTATGTAAAATAAGTAATTATAAAAATAATTAAATAATAAATTTTGCTCTATTGAATATTATATGTGAATGTACTAAAATATACCCAAATATATTCAGATTTCAGTAAATGTTTTTGAAGGTAGATATTTACTGAAGTCCAAAGAAGTATGACTTCTTTTGAGAGAATAAGAAGTTTAAAGATGCAAATTTTAGAGATTTGTCAGATCTAGTACATTCAGTTATTTACAAGGCATTTAATATCCAAGAAAGATATGATGTATAGAGAATAGACATATCTATTGAATCTACAAGGAAGGCTTTTTGCCCTTGTATTCTTGAAAATACAAGAATATGAGACTTTGGAATAGGAAGTAGTAATACAATACTTAGGAAGGATTAAGGAAGCAATTAAGGCTACCATGGGAAGATGCTAAAATTTTTGAAGAGATTAAAGGGGGAGGAAATAGTTTCCTTGAAAAATGATGAATATTCAAGAAAAGTTTTGTGAACCATGCAATGAACATGAAGGACTTTTTAGTCTATTTAAATAACAAACATGAAAAACAAGCCTTACTTCAAGTACTCTTGAATATAACCTCACCATCAACTTCTATAATCAGATAGGATTGTATAAAAAATTGAAAAAAAAATAATTCATTGCTCAAGATTACAAAATCAAAAAAATCATATGTAATATATTGATTATGTTTAATTTATATACAATTGTATTCAATTTTAGAAGCCATTGTCCTGATGAGGATGATGTACAGTATTTGAAAGTGCTTGAAGTATGCTTGTTTTTCGTGTTTAGTATTTAATTCCATTAACTATTAAAAAGCATTTTTATTGGAATTTCATGTCTGAACTTTTCTCTCCTTGTGTTCTCAGAATAGAAAGTTCACAAAAATTGAAAAACTTTTGAAGATGGACTCACATTTATAGTATATTCAAATATTGTATGTATTCCAATAAAAACAAAATTATTTAATTTGACAAAAGATTGGAGATGTTTTATGATTAAAAATGTAGAGTAAAAAGTTTTTAAAACAACTGTTATTAAATATTTAGTACTAAATGATTGTCAAATTATTTATTGGACTATATAAAGGCAAATAGCCATTAATCTGTGAATTGTTCGGCACTATAAGTTGAATTATGTTATTGTAAAGGGTGTTTCAAAATTTACTGTACACTGAAGTTCTTTCTACAGCAGACTTGAAAATATCCTCCAAGGGCCTGAAGACTAATCTGGACACATTTTATTATTGTTGAAATGAATGGTGATTGTTACCTTCAGTCATCAATGGAATGTGGGCTGTTTTTGTAAACCTTTTCTTTCTCCACAGATAATTTAAAGGACTCAGTTGTGGAAATTAAGCGAACCAAGTTGGTTTATCCAAGATAGTTATATATGAAAAAATTTTAATTTGAAAATATCTGAAAAAAAAGGAAAATGACATTACTATACTGTAACTTTTGGAGACATCCTGACAAACTTATAAAACTGGGATAATAAAATTAAATTTAAACAGCTACTTTAATTATGTTTTTGTTGCTTGGTTCCAGAAAAAAATTGCTTTGAGAGGGATGCAGTTTGTATATTTTAATGTTATGTGGGAAATACTCAAGTTATTACTTGTTCTTTTTTTATATTAGTGCTGAGAACAATGTTTCACATGAATTTGTTGATGAGATAATAGGAGTGTGTTTGCAATAATTTTAAGAGCACCAAATTGATCAACTTACAATCCAATACTTTATTAATTTATAAATTGTATTTTTTCTTTAACTCTCTGAACTGTTCAAACCTAGAAAAAAATCTGCTCAGTCATGTCTCTTAGAGCTTCTAAAAAATGTTTTGCATGTTGTTCAAGATTCTTTGTTGACAACCATTATTATTGTATTATTGACAACCATTTGGTCTTTGATAGTTAAGTTAGAACATATTTTAAATCACGTCACGTCAACAGATGCACAGAGGAATTAGACATTCGAAATTTTCATCATTCAATTTGGTTCAAAAAAATCTTGTATTCGTATTCGAAGATTCAGCTGATTTACCTGAGGAAGAACCCAGAAGGGGTTAAGCCAAACATTGTGTCAATAGATTTTTTAAAACCTTGCGGCTTACTGTTAAGTTCAATCAAATTCAATAAAAAAAATCTGAAGAAGACAAGTTTATTGAACCAAGCAAATTCATTTAGCTGTGGAAAACTATGCTATTTGATTTTCATATCTGAAAATAGTTTGATTTTACTTAAACATTCAATACATCTTTCAAGTACTTGACTATGACTTACCATTGTACATGAGTAAATCATTGTGAACTGATTCAAATTCATTTATTAGGTAACCAAAAAAGTTCTGTCGTTTTTTGTGAAACTACACAGTTTAAAGAATGTTACACGCAATACTCAATAGATGACACTAAAATTCCAGCAATATGTTAATCAAGATTTAATGCTGACTCACCTTATATAAAGAGAAGTGGAAAGGTTATCTCTTAAATATTATAAAAATTGACTTGAAGATGAGTACTCCAAACTCTGTAATTCGTGCTTGTATGTTGTATGAGTTTAAACTTGGAACAAGTGCTGTGCAAATGGCTCAAAAAATATGCCAGGCTTTTGGACAAGGTTCTGTTAGCACTCACACCACCCAAAGATGGTTTACAAAATTTTCTTCCAGCAATGAGTCGCTTAAAGATGCGCCATGA